AACCGAATGGTTCCAAAATTATATTTGGAACCGACAGTTCCATTTACTAAATACCCGAAAATTTCTGGAACCGAAAAAAACCGAACCGAACCGAACCGAACCGACCCGCGCCCACCCCTACTCAAAACCAAAATCCCTATCCAAATTATTCATTTTCATGTGCACTTCCCACTGTACATAGTTTTCTTCTTCGTCTTCTTCTACTATGTCTTCTACTTCATCTAAAAATGAATTCTCGACTTCAGGGGATGGTACATTTGAATAAACCAAGATTCCCCCAATACGATCAATAACGAAATCAAAACTCTCTCTCTCGTCAATTTGGGTTCTCTCATCCACCTCCTCGCACTCTCCTTTCTTTCATTTTCAGTAATACGATAATCATTAACCCCAAAGCTATTGCAATTATCTTCATCATTGACAATAAACCCAGAATTTAACTCAAGTTTTCTGGAATCGGACTCAGAATTTGCGCCCACAACACCAACCACAATTGCAGAAGGGTTTGTATCGGACCCAAGACCCGAACCGAACCCAAATTCCATCCCCAGATCTTCCGCCGGACCTGAATTGAAATCCTAGATTTAGTCATTCAGAACATGGACTTCACGGGTCTCGAATAGATCGATAGAATTCATCATATTGGTTTTCTTGTTCTTGATGGGCCCTCGTAGTGTTGCTGGCAATGGGCCTTAGTGGTGGTGGTGGTTGTTGAGATTGAGTAGCCGGTTCGTAGTGGTGAAAGTTGTAAAGATCGGAGTCCTCTGCCATTGTAGAAGCCAGAAACTGAAAAGGGATATCTGGAAGTCATTTTTTTGGACGGAAGATATATTATTCATCAATGTTTGTGGTATGCCAATCTGAAAGAAGGGGGCATAGTAAATGAATTAAAGGAAAAAAAGAAGGTGGAGTTTGGTGGGTTATTTGCACATTTTAAAAAGTTTAGGCATGTAGTTGCAATTTCTTCTTTATTTTTCTTTTCTTTCCTTTCTCGTTCTATTTACATAGGAGGATATATTGGTCATTTTAAATTAAAAGAATTGTGGAAAGGGCGTTCCGTGCAAAGAAATGCAGAAGGTAGGGATGTTTTGTGCCAAAAAAATGAAGGTATGAATGTTTTCCACAATAAACTTGAAAGGTAGGGACTTTATGCACCAAAAAATCAAAGGTATGGACGTTTTGCGCCAATTACCCTAATCTAAGCAAAGATGTCCAAGAAAGAAAATTTGTAGTTTAGTTGGAGCAATATTTAATTATTTGTGTAAAGAATGAAGATTGCCATAGGGTAAGATAATGTATATTGAATAAAACTCCTAGAATTATTTATTGGGAGAAAGTGAAAGGGAAAATTACTTTATATATATATAATTTTTATTTAAAAGTCAAATATTAATTTCAACTACACAATTACAAATACAACTCATTTATTAATCAAGGCCCAACATTATTCTTCTTCAAAATTTACTAATAATTTGATTAGGACACTCTTGTCCCAATTGAAAAAATTAAAATAAAAATTGTTGACTTATCTTGAGAAAAATTAAAAAATTAAAATTGAACAAAGAATGTCAAATCTATGCAATGCAGTACTATTTCTGTCATTTAAGAAGATACTCTTAGGTTTGGTCCAATTTCTGGTGAGTATAGAGAATCAAGCCCATTCTTTTATGGATTTGTTGAAGAAGTACTGCAATTACACATGGAACTAGCTAGAGAACATAATTTATGCATATTTCACGAACATAGACAATTTGGTTCATAATTTTTTTATTTTTATTTTTTTACATAAAATGAGAAATTTCATTTTATATATGAAACAAGATAATCATAAAAATGGCTCATCGTGGAAGAATTAGATAGCTTTTGACGATAAGATCGTGCCCCAAGACCAATTATTTCAATTGTTTAATTGGGCTATTTTTTCCACTTGAAGTGAATGTTAAATTCAAACAGCCATTTCAAAGTCAAACCTTTTTTGTTTTCCCAAATTAGTAATAACTTAAAAGCATATCCCAAATTAGTAAAAACTAAAAAGTCAAATCCTTAGAGTTGTAGTGTTTACTCCATAAGAGTGAGTGGGAGAAGATCCAAACAAAGTGCAACACATATGGAGGAAATCAATGTGCAACAGTCATTTGTATAGGTGTTCGAGCAAAATATATCGGTGCTATTTTGTCCATTTCAAGCAGGTGCTTCTCGTCTTCATCCTCAACCCTCCTCTCCACCCCAATCTAGTTACTTATTGATGAATCTCCATTCTCGATGTTATGTTCTCTTCTACAATCCACTTGCTATTCTCGAGTAGAGACAAGACATGAGAGTGAAATAATAGGGGACGTAGAAGGAAAGAGAAAAAGAAACGGGATAAGGGTGAGGAAGAAGATGACACGACGAAAGTGAAAGTGAAAGTAAACGTTTTAGTAAAGTTAAATTATGCATTTGGTTTATTAAAAAAACATAGAAAAGTCAAAAAGTGAAAATTATTTATGTTTTGGTTGGCATTGGCGGTTTCCTATATTTGTTTTTGAGCTTTGGGTTGGAAAAGGGAAAGGATAGTGGATTCCAGTATGGGCCATTGCCCCAATATCCCTCTTAATGTTGACAACTTCACCTATATAGTCTCGCTGTCTCCACCAACCAATAGTGCTCTTTTAAGCTTTTTGCCCCTCTTTGATTTAGGTAAGGATCAAATTATTAATA